AAGAAAAACGTACAGGAGTATAACCCCGTTTACTCTGCCTCCTTTCATAACCTGCAAGTGTGCCGTTAAAGCACATGGGGATGTGAGCAGCCAGCGCTCAACAACAATCAACGTGGCCAGCCTTGAGAGAACTGAAGTAAAGGTACTTCAGAAAGGGAAATAACGGATCTATTGTGCTCCATGTTGCCTGCTATAGAGGTAAAAAAAACTGTCTCATTGTTGGATTGGCTCATCTCAAGTGTGCTTCATTGTCTGCAATAAAGGTAAAGTTCCATTGATTTTGGATCTACTCATCTGGGTGAAACAGGGGCTGTTGTGGTAAGAATCTAAAACACAGACACACAAACACACACACCCAAACACATGCCTCAGGAAATAACGTGCAAGTGGGCCGTGAAGGCACACGGGGGTGTGGGCAGCTGCCGCTCAACCACAATCAAAGTGGGCAGCCTTGTACGTAAGAAGCACAGTAAAAGGGGAGCTGCAAGAACGAATGGAAGGGGCACCCCAAGGACAACCAATAAACTGTCTAACTGTAGCATATCAGAAAGTGAAATCCACTGAGAGCCTAGGATCTAGCAATGACGAAAGTGGCAACAACCAGCAGCATAGGTGCAACATCCACGAGATGTCAATGTGCACGGTGCAAAGGGTGAACCAACGAGAAATCAACAACACACATTCGTATCATTATCATCATGGGCTGGGAAGCAGCGCAGCGGAAGATTTAGTATCAAAGGACACGTGGACAACAACATGAAAAGGAGAAAACTTCGGAAGGGCAAGACATCAGAAAGATTGCCCTTCCGCTCACACACATGGGGAGAGATCCATAGACATGCGAGAGAGAAGGGGGAGGGACGGAGGTAACCAAGTCCAACCCAAGTCTGATCTCCAAATGTCGCACACAGTTCAAACCCAATGTAGAGTGCAAGTCCGACCTAAATGTCGTGTCCAATAGGGCAGAATGCCGTGTCCAAACAATGTCTGCAGTTACCTCTATCTCTACTCTGAGAAGAAGAAGAAGAAGAAGAAGAAG